CTCATTATGATACCCCAACTGGGTATGCTAATACGACAGGGAGGCCACACGGGCCTCCTGGAGCTAGGGGCGAGGTCACTATTGAAACCCCTGCGACCCCTGGTGCTATGCCTATGACCTGAATATTTGTGCAGTCTCAGCCAATCCCTGGGAGGAGAGTGTCCAGTAGATGGTTGAGGAGGACATACATAGAAGCCTGGAGAAGCAGGGTTCTTGCCCAGGAGAAGAAGATCCCAGCCTGAAGAAATGCTGCCCTTCTGGGCAGGTTGGCTGGAGCCTACAGAGAATTTATTAAGGTCCCAGCTCAGTGGGAGCTGGGGTACCTATTGCAGAGAGCTCATCCAGGTCCTAGCTCAGTGGGAGCTGGAGGGCCTGTTTTCCTGGAAGTAGTTGTAGCCAGTATTGGACAGGAGGTATCCAAGTATCAGGAGACAGTGAGTAGAAGCCTGTAAGCAGGATCCTAGTGACGGTCTCCTATTTAACCCCTTGTGTGACTGCTTCACTGTTGCAAAAGTGGGTCTTGGCCTGCTGGGAGGCCCAGAGGTGCTTGTCTTTCTAATCTCTGCCAAGAGGGAGATTTCCCTGATGAGAGTAGACAGAATAGAGAATGTCTTCCAGTTTTTTGCTCACTAAATTCAGAGTATCGCAAAAGCTTTCCTACCCCCCCAAGTTCAACCAAAAATAAAGCATTAAAAGACACTCACTACCTGGTCATTGTAAAGTGAATTTGTCAAAATGTTGTGTACCTGGCTGCCTGTAGACAAGAACGAGAAGAGAACTTGGGATAAATTAGCGAGACCATACGGGGTCTGTGCTACACCAATAAAAAACAGAAACAATTAGGAGTACTCCTACATACAAATGGTTCCAAAATTAAACAAAAGAACTTTGGCTGTACTTCTCCTTTAATGACAGTCCTGCTACAGATCCCCAAACCACACTGCTGCTGTCAGCTAGTCTAGCAACTCCACATTTACAGAGCTGCCAAATGCCACAAAATAGAAATGTTATCTTGTTTGCACAGTTGGCAGGGACAATTTACATATACAGGGACACAATGGGTGACTTTTGCAGCTGAGAACATGTCTATTCATTTGAGATGTGAGCTCGTACTATTTTTACATCTCTTGCACACTCCTGCAGTGTGATCTCCCTACGATACAGTATTTCAAGGACCTTTTACCTACAAGCTGTTTACAGGGAGAGTACAAAGCCAAACCAATAACTGTGGTAAGTTGGCTAACCTAGGCATCAAAAAAATCTTTCAGTCTCATAATTACCAATGATTATATACAATATAGTGGTGTTCTAAGGTCCTATGGAAATCATTTGTATCTCATTTACTGGGCAAAACAGAAAACATACATCTTAAATTGGCTATACACAGCTGGATTTTCTCTTGTTCAGCCCAATCAAGTGAACCTCCATCCGTACTAAGGTCTTATGCTGTCCGACTAGCGGTTAGCCGACAACTATCTAACAAAACTGGCAGAAGCAGCATTGTGTTTCATTCCCAAAAAAATTTACTTCTGTGAATAGCTTCTCTAAAACTGCAATACAATCATATAAACTGAAGTTACAATATGCTAGTATACATGTCTTTTACAAATGCATACAATGAACACATTTCTTTTAAATAGCTACCTACAAATCACATTAAACACATTGAAATGCAATCAAGATATACTGTATATATGTTAACAAATGATAAATACACTTATACAGTAAGTATATGCGTTTTAAAGGGAGAATGAAGGAGACCTCCACTGGTGTTCTTCAGGAAATAACATGAGTCTGCAGTGGTTTATGGAAAATCTTTATTACCACAACACTCCCTATTTTCCCTTCTTAACAAGACACTCCCTACTCCTGTTGAAAGAAATAATAAAAACAGGTGCAATTGCAGTGAACACCTAATGGATGGCTCCCAAAATAATGATATACAGAACAGGCCTCACTCACGCGGGCATACTTAAAGCGTAACTGCTACTTTCATATGTTGTCCGCACTCCAACCCTCCTCCCCTCCTATACATAAATAGAGAAGTCTTTTTTTTATTTCTTTTTTTTATTTACCTTTTTTTTTTTTATAATAAGCTCAGCTCTAGACAATTGATTTGTGCACAGTGCTCGCTGGGCCTCTTGGATATTCACACGTCACATATCCCAGGAGGCCTTTAGTCATTCATTCACTAGACTGGAAGTGGGCAGGCCTAAAAGCGCATTATCGTGAGGCTCCGCTGGCTGAACCTGGAGAACCGGCAGGCATCGCGATGATGTCACAAGCAAGATGGTGGTACGTGGCTCAGCGGTGTCTGTTGACAGAAGGATATCAGCAAGACAATGCTGGCTCTGGTGGTTGGGTGAGTATCCAAACTTTGCTTAGATCACCACAAGGTAAACAAGGGCAGAAACAAAATGGGATCGCGGTAAGCTGAAGGTCTACTTTAAGCATACGCTCCTGCGAGGGCCATGTTTGCTTGCACGGGGATGCAGAGGTGTTCTGTGCCAGGGCCAGATGGAGCGGGGATATGGTAAGTGGTCCTTACCCCCTAGACATAGCAAGCATTTAACCCTTGTAGTGCTGGGGACCCCACTGCAAGGGTAGACTTTTTTTCTTATTCTTGGAGTTGAGTTTTAAAACTTAAGCTTTAGTAATAGTATAGTATAGCTTTAGTATAGCAAAAGTTTAAATAAAAAGAGAGACATTACCTTAAACTAAGAAAACTTCAGGTGCCACTCAAGGTTCCCATCTCCAGCTCACACAAGGGGGGTGTTGGCATGGAAAGAGTCCATCCCGGCTCAATGCGTGCAGTCATAGAAAATAAAAGACTCAATCAAGGCACACTACCAAGATATGAACGTCCTATGAAGGAAAGCGGCATCAACCCAGCTTCGTCCAGGGCACTCAAGCTGACGCGCCTTGCCCCGACCCTGGGGCTTAGGCATGGCTGAAGCTGCTTTCATTCCAAAGACATTACCTGTCATAGAACAGTGCAAGTGCTCATCTTTCCCAGCACTGCTGCATCCTGTTCTGATCCTGAGCAATGGTCCTTTAACGTTCACTAAGAATCCAGTCTTTTTGGTCCCCTGTAGTTCCCACTGGTTCCTCTTGCTAACCTCCATGTATACGGATGAGTGTGTGGTGACATGGAGGTCAGTAGGAGGAACCAACTAGCACTGTTGAAGACCCAAAAGACCGCCACTCCCAGATGTGTAGGTTTCCCAACAGAATTCAGAGGACCATTTTTCAGGATTGGTTGTGCATTTGGAGGAGGCATCAGGAAAGGTGAATATTTACATTGTTCTTTTAAACCTATTGATAATGTAGTTTTAAATAACTACATGTTTTTAAAATTGAGGCTTCCATGGTCATTTTTTCTTCTACCACATATTCACACATTCCTGAGATATTTTGCAGTCTGAGGCGTGTGAACGCTGTTGATCCCTAACGGTTTCCAATCTTGGTGACCTAACTGTGGACATCTGTTCATGCTGCTGCAGCCTTATGTCTGCTGATTTGGCCAGTTCTGCTCCTTTTACTCAGCAGAAATAGCACAGGAGTACTTTAAAGTTTGTGAATGCTTCTGAATTTTCAATATTTGACAAATAAATATTACAGTAATAAAAGTTGGTTTTAAGCAAATCCTAATACTAGATGATGAGAAATCAATAAAACAAAGGAGTCAAAATATACTACTTGTCTTTTTACTACTTTTATTCATGGCTTCCAGTAAGCGTTCACCGATCCAGCACAGTCTTGAGATACACAAGATAGGCTGGTGTGAAAGGTGCTTTCTAGTACACAGAGATGTATGCTATATGATAAGAACATACATTTCTGTATATATATATTTAGCATTAAATACTTCTTTGTACAGATCTCTAAAACTAAAATAACTACTGTATATATTTAGAAATGTGTAGTCAACAACCCAGCACTACCATTCATCTAAATTCTCAATTTCTGGGTGCTTATGGTTCTTTCTAGAATTTTGTTGTAGAAACATCCAAACATTTCAGATTCCATGAATTAAGGCCCCATTCACATCTTTGCGTAGTGGAAACGTGGGCAGAAACGCACAAATAATGTTCAAGATGCTTGCAGTGCCAATATTTCTTAAAGCACCCCAAACAAGGGTAGCAGTTGCATGTCTTGTTGTGCGTGAAAATAACACAAAACACATGCCGCAAAATGCGCTAGCCCAGTGCCAAAATGTTGTACATTATCTTCTTTGGTGCATTTTTAAAGTGGAGGGGGGCCCATTCAGATGAATGGTGCCACTCCAAAACCAAGCTACAAAAATGCAAAAAAAAAAAAAACCTTGTGGGAGCATCACTCAGATGTGAACGGGGCCTTAGATGGCCATACACTAGATTTCTGAACAAATATTTGTATACAAAAATTCTTAGTACATTCAATGATTTGACAAATGTCATTCTACAGTACTTCCAATTTATTTTGCTTTAACCACTTGCCTACAGGGCACTTATACCCCCTTCCTGTCCTGGCCAATTTTCAGCTTTCAGTGCTGTCACACTTTGAATGACAATTGCGCGGTCATGCAACACTGTACCTATATGAAATTTTTATCATTTTTTTGAGACAGATAGAGCTTTCTTTTGGTGGTATTTAATCACCTCGGGGTTTTTTATTTTTTGCTAAACAAACCAAAAACAACAGAAAATTTAAAAAAAAAAAGGTTTTTCTTAGTTTCTGTTATAAAATTTTGTAAATAAGTGATTTTTCTCTTTTACTGATGTGCGCTAATGAGGCTGCAGTGATGGGCACTGATAGGCTGCACTGATGGGCACTGATAGGCGGCACTAATGGGCACTGATGAGGAGGCACTGGTAGGTGACACTGATGGGCATTGACAGGCATCACTGATGGCACTGAAAGGCAGCACTCATCTATGGCACTGATAGGCGGCACAGACTGGCACTGTTAGGTGGCACTGACTGGCACTGTTAGGCGGAACTGATAGGCAGCACTGACAGGCGGCACTGATGCGCATTGATAGGCGGCACCGATTGGCACTGATAGGTGGCACTGACTGGCACTGATAGGCGGCACTGACTGGCACTGTTAGGTGGCACTGACTGGCACTGTTAGGTGGCACTGATGCGCATTGATAGACGGCACTGATTGGCACTGATAGGTGGCACTGACTGGCACTGATTAGCAGCACTGATAGGTGGCACTGTCTGGCATTGATAGGTGGCATTGACTGGCACTGATAGGTGGCACTGAAAGGCAGCTCAGATGGGCACTGATATGTGGCATTGACGTGCACTGGTAGGCACTGATGTGGCACTGATAGGCACTGGCAGGTGGCATTGATTAGCACTGACAGCTAATGATGATCAGTGTACATGTCCCCTCTGAGGAATGCTGATTACCGGCTCTCCTCTCCTCACAAGCTGTCATAGTGGCAGCTCGTGAGGAGAGAAATGCTGATAACCGGAACATCTGTATTTACATGCGATCAGCTGTGATTGGACACAGCTTATCACATGACAGAGCCGACGTCTTCGGCTCTTTCCGTTGATCGGTGATCCACTGTGTCCGAGGGACACAGCGCACCACTGATCACCGTGCTACGTGCCCCCGGAGCCACGCACGCTCAGTTAGAGTGGGAGGACGTCATATGATGTTCTCCCAGAACGAGAGAACCACCTTGTGCCCGTCATTTCCTTATATGGCGAGCGGAGTCGGTTAAACATTTGATTTTTGAATGAATGGACTTTCTCAGATGAAAATCACATAAACTGTTAGAAATTAGTTAGTTCGAGAAAAACTTTCCATCCTGCTCCTTTGAATTTTCTCTTCAATGCTGTCAAAAAGGAATGTCAATTTCACCCCACGAATGATTAGAAAAAACAAAAAACATTTTAATGGAACTCTGCTAGTGCGTGGCCACCATAAAAGTGATACTAAATGCTTTTTTTTGTTCTCCAAAAAAGAGGGTATGTTTGCAATAATATCACACAGAAAAGTCACTTTTCTCCTCTTGTGGAAGTTCCTGCAGGTGCTGTTGGCTCCTCCCTCCTTTGGGTGCCTCCTGTAGCAAGCTGAGTGCTATGGAGGCACCTGTGCTTGCGTGATCCAGATGGGACCCAAGCTGGGCGTTGTGTATCCATAGACTGATGGCTGCCTATGGCTGCTGCCAGTTTCTCCTGTGAATGCAGGAAGTGAGGGGAGCCATCTTGGAGCAGTGACATGGAGCAAGGGAAGAATTTAGGAACAGAGGAGGGTATGACAATTAGTGGGGCATTTTATACCTTAATGCAGTCTATGCATTTCCCCCAACCCTCCAATATACACTTGAGCCCAATCTCAGTCCAGTGATGTGCATGAGAGCAGCAACTCTGTCCCTCCTCATTAGTTCAGAGACAGCACTAGAAGCCATTGCCTCCTGCTGTTGTCAATCACAGCCAGTGAGGAAGGAGCAGGAGGTGGGGCTGAGCTACGCTCTGTGTGTCTATGGACACAGAGAGCCGGCTCGGGAGTGAGCCTGCGTGAGTGCTCCCATAGCAAGCAGCTTACTACAAGGTTGGATCTAGACTATCTGATGTGGGGGTGCAGTAAAAAAATGTTGGGGGGGTAAAGGATGGGAGATCAGCAGGGTAGTAGACAGGGGTCACTGCTGGCAGGGCAGAAGACAGAGTTTCAGATTAGGGCAGCATAGTGGCAGGTTAGCGCAGTATAATGGCAGGTTAGGGTAGTATAGTATCAGGTTAACGCAGTATAATAGCAGGTTAGGGTTGGTTTTTGGGGGGGGCACAACTAAAATCTGGGGGGCATAGCCCACCCCTGCACTCCCCCTAAATCTGGCCATGGCTTGCTAGATCATGTATCAGACAAATATGCAAGATGTGAATCCAGAGGCTCTATTCACACTTGTGCGACTTGTCATGAAACTTTGGACTTCAAAGTCACATGATAAGTTGCAGCCCATTCTTTTCAATGGCACCCCTTGAAATCAGTGCAACTTAAAGTCGCAGCCACTTTAAAAAGATGCCTGCAATGTTTTGATTCAACTTTTGATGCACTTTGATCCAGAGAGTGTAAAATAGGATCAAAGTCACATCAACGTCATGCTCCAAAGTCGCACTGAAAATTGTGTGACTTCGAAGTCACGTAGGTGTGAATGCAGCCTAAAATATACAAAAGCAAGTTTGCTGACATTTTACTGCAGGAAAAAAAAGTAGGAAATGATTAAAACCCATAAGGATGGAATTCTAAAACTCTTACTCCTCATGCACACGGGTCGTTTTGATAACTCTGGTAACGTTAGCTGTGTAAAGTCACGTTAAAAATGTGAGTTTTTCAGCTTTTTTAGCATTTTTTGCATTAGCGTTTAGCTGCGTTTTCCCGCGTTTTTCGTGTTTGCGTTTTTAGCGGGTTTTTTTTTACCCTCCCAAAAATTTTTTTGGGTTAAAAAAGTCCAAAATTGCTGGGTTGCAGTGTTTTACCGCGTTTTGTTGCGTTTTCCAGTGTTTTTACAGCTAAAAAACTCCTCTAGAAACCCACTAGTCCTGGGTTTTTTTTCTGCCAAAAAATCTTGATTACAGTCTAGGTGTGCATGGACACATAGGATAACATGCTGGGGGGTTTACTAGCTGTAGAAAAAACCATCAAAAGCCAAAAACAGCCGCTATAAAACGTCCAGTGTGCATGACGACTAAGGAATACAAAGAGATCTTCTCTTTTGCTTCACCCGACTGAATACATTGCATTAGCCCCAGCTGTAACTGCTGATCTTGGATGCTCTCACAGCAGCATTGATCTATAGTGGGGGAGACTACGAAAGAGAGCCCTCACGCTGGAAATTGCCCTTGTCCCCTCCACCACCCTTCAACATTCCTACTGTTACCTAGCCATTATTGGACTACCCCTCCGACCCTGCCCTACCCCTCAAAAGAGCTAAAGGATATGTAAACCCAACATTTCATATTCCTGACGTGCCTGCTGTACCATGTACTTATATGTAAAATTCTCCTGTTTTCTTTGTATTGCTTGCTTTGTGTGAAATCCCTGTTGTTCCTGCCAGTCCCTCTGCTTACCTATTAAAAACTGACCACACTAAGCACAGTGTGGTCAGTTTTCTGGCTGTGCTGGGAGCTAATCCAATTACCAGGCTTGCGCTGACATGCCTCTCCCTGTACAGCCATTCATTGGGAAGATCGCTGTGCTGCTGTTTCTCCTCCCTGAGCTCCTTATGTAGCTGAGAACAGAGGGTATGTGATCACTTTAAAAAAAGGAAAAAAAGGTATTTATGTTTTTTATATGTATACAAACATTTTTTGCCTTTCCTTTCTATTTTAAACTGCATGGGTTTGTAGGGCAGTGTGCAGGGGTCAGCAGTATGTAGAGCAGAGTACAGGGGGTCAGTGATATGTAGGGCAGAGTGCAGGGGTCAACGGCATGTAGGGCAGAGTGCAGGGGTTAGCGGTATGTAGAGCAGAGTACAGGGGTCAGCGATATGTAGGGCAGAGTACAGGGGTCAGTGGTATGTAGGGCAGTGTGCAGGGGTCAGCAGTATGTAGGGTAGAGTACAGGGGTCAGCAGTATGTACAGTGAAGGAATTAAGTATTTGATCCCCTGCTGATTTTGAATGTTTGCCCACGCACAAAGAAATGATCAGTCTAAAAATCGAATGGTTGGTGTATTGTAACACAGAGACAGAACACCAACAAACAATTCAAAAGAAATGTATGTCTAACAAATTATGCACTGATTTGCATGTTCATGAGGGAAGTAAATATTTGATCTCCTATCATTCAGCAGGATTTCTGGCTACCAGGAGTCTTTCATTCAGGTAACAAGCTGAGATTAGAAGCAGTCTCTTAAAGGGAGTGCTGCTAATCTCATTTTGTTACCTGTATAAAAGACACCTGTCCACAGGTGCAATCAAACAATCAGATTCCAAACTCTCCACCATGGCAAAGACCAAAGAGCTGTCCAAGGATGTCAGGGACAAGCAGCTTGGTGGGAAGGTGACAACAGTTGGTGCAATCATTCGCAAAAGGAAGAAACACAAAACAACTGTCGGTCTCCCTAGGTCTGGTTCACCATGCAAGATCTCACCTCGTGGAGTGTCAATGATCATGAGAACAGTGAGGAATCATCCCAGAACTACACGTGAGGATCGTGTCAATGCTCTCCAGGCAGCTGGGACCACAGTCACCAAGAAAACAATTGGTAACACACTACGCTGACAAGGATTGAAATCCTGCAGTGCCCGCAAGGTCGCCCTGCTCAAGAAAGCACATGTCCAGGCCTGTCTGAAGTTTGCCACTGAACATCTGAATGATGCAGAGGAGGACTGGTTGAAAGTGTTGTGGTCAGATGAGACCAAAATGGAGCTCTTTGACATCAACTCAACTCGCCGTGTTTGGAGGAGCACTCTGCTCTACATACCGCTGACCCCTGCACTCTGCCCTACAAACCGCTGACCCCTGCACTCTGCCCTACAAACCGCTGACCCCTGCACTCTGCCCTACAAACCGCTGACCCCTGCACTCTGCCCTACATACCACTGACCCCTGCACTCTGCCCTACAAACCGCTGACCCCTGCACTCTGCCCTACGTACCGCTGACCCCTGCACTCTGCCCTACGTACCGCTGACCCCTGCACTCTGCCCTACGTACCGCTGACCCCTGCACTCTGCCCTACATACCGCTGACCCCTGCACTCTGCCCTACATACCGCTGACCCCTGCACTCTGCCCTACGTACCGCTGACCCCTGCACTCTGCCCTACGTACCGCTGACCCCTGCACTCTGCCCTACGTACCGCTGACCCCTGCACTCTGCCCTACATACCGCTGACCCCTGCACTCTGCCCTACATACCGCTGACCCCTGCACTCTGCCCTACAAACTGCTGACCCCTGCACTCTGCCCTACAGTGAAGGAAATAAGTATTTGATCCCCTGCTGATTTTGAATGTTTGCCCACTCACAAAGAAATGATCAGTCTAAAAATCGAATGGTAGGTGTATTGTAACACTAAGAGACAGAATAGCAACAAAACATTCAAAAGAAATGCATGTCTAACAAATTATGCACAGATTTGCATGTTCATGGGGGAAATAAGTATTTGATCCCCTTCACAAAACATGACTTAGTACTTGGTGGCAAATCCCTTGTTGGCAATTACAGGAGGTTAGACGTTTCCTGTAGTTGGCCACCAGGTTTGCACACATCTCAGGAGGGATTTTGTCCCACTCCTCTTGGCAGATCCTCTCCAAGTCATTAAGGTTTGGTGGCTGATGTTTGGCAACTCGAACGTTCAGCTCCCTCCACAGATTTTCAATCAGATTAAGGTCTG